CGTGGTTCTCCATGCTGGGTGCTCATGGAGGACCTTTATGGCAGGCAGGCTGAGAGGACAGCTCCTCTGGGAAAGGCTTATGGTGCTTTGGTGTCATTTGACCTCCCAAAGCCAGGGCCCATCCTCTGCAAACATCTGCCCCGCAGGATCCCAGAGACAGGTAGAGGCCATCCTAGCCTGGCAGCGGCCACCGGAAGGCAGCTTCATTATGTAAGCCAGCAGCACAGAGTACACAGAGAATGGGCTGGAGTGCCTAAGAGGCACAACAGTGGGCAGGAGGGGCAGGGTGGAGGGTCAAACCTGGTCCACTGCTGGGGAGAGGAGACATTCAGACCCACCACAGGCTCAGTTAAGTGATCCGCAAACAGTGACCCTTGCCCGTTCCGTGGGTTTGTCTGTGCACAGGTGGGGTTTTCCGAACTCTAGAATTTTCTAAGGAGCCTTTGCTGAATTGACAAGAGGAAGGATTCAGGTTGAGTCAACCCCAAGGCTCTTCTTCAAAGCCCAGCGTCTCCCCTGATGTCTGCCTAGCCCAGAGTCTACTGGGACAATGACCGTGCTGCTGCTGCTGTTTGGGGCGGGGCAGAGGGATCTGACAGTGTGACCAACTACTCTCCATGCTTAGATCCCTGTCAGAGGCTGGGGAGATGGCACAGGGGTAATGCATTTGTTGTGCAACTCTGAAGACCTGACTTTGAATCTCAAAAGCCCACATAGAAGCCAGGAGTGTGTGCCTGGGATCCCAGCACCCCTACTGTGAGATGGAAGGTTGAGGCAGAAGAACTCCCAGGTGCTTGCAGGCAGGCTACACAGCTAAGAACGACAGAGACCCTGTCTCCAATAAGGTGGAAGGTGATGAAGGACACCCAAGAATGCCCTCTGACCTATACACGCATGCGCGCACACACACACACACACACACACACACACACACACACACACACACCCCATACTGGGGAAGTTCCTATTTTTCCCTTTTACAATAATCTTGAGCCTTGGGGGCCATTTTTCACCACAGAGGTGGGTACTAGGCACCCAGGCAGGAAGCCCAAACAGAACCTCTAGACCCAACAGGCTCCAAACCGAGACTGGACCCATGAGCCAGAACCGGCCCTGCCTGCCACGGGATTGGTGTGTAGGACACCCTGTCCCCCACACTCATGTCAGCAAATGATGTCACAGTGCCTGTGCATAGGGAACGCGTGCCGCTCCTTCTGCAGAAGGTAAGAAATTCGGATCAACATCTGTTCACAACCACACGCAGACTCCCTAGGACAGATGTTCCCAAGGTGAATGACACTGTCCTCCGAGGCACTGGCGTTAATTCTTTACAAGGGGAGGAGTGAAAAAACACTTCACATATTCAGGTCCTCACACCCGGTAGAGGGTTGGGGTACATAGACACAACCTGTTTGTGACACCAGTATCCCATCCCTCAGTAGCTCAGAAAACAACCTAAAAAGGAGAAAGAGGACCAGGGATGTAGCTCAGTGGTAGAGCACTTGCCTAGCGTGTAGAAGGGTCTGGGGTCAAGCACAGAACCCACTCCCATCCATGAAAAATTCGGTGAAGATCCATGCTGTGATTTTGAGGTAACCCTTTTGTGATACTACGAAACTGATTTGGGGATGGGTGTTAATATAGTTCGATATTTAAATATAGATAGTAGAAAGTATTCCATTTTCATCCAGCTCATGTCTCCTGCTCATGCATTTCTTATGAAGAACACGGGCTGAAGCAGCTTCCAAACCGGTGTTCCCCACACCGACAGATGCTTGCTCACACGTGTTACACAGGGTAGGCTGTCCCCAGGTACCAGCCAGCACCAGACCACATCCTCTCTCCCAAGAAAGGAGAAGGATATCAAAGATGTCTGGGGAGTTGGGCCCCTGCTCCTTCTGTCCCCACAGGCCCCGTCCTGTGGCTAAGACCCAAGGGCACGCTTAGGCTCCAGGGTCTGTGGTGGACTTGGTGGTGAGCTGGCCTGATGACCCCAAACCACAGTTCAGCTGTGGCATCAACATGGCTCCCAGGAGGAGTCACCAACAGTGAGAGTTACCGGCGACAGTCACTTCTGAGTCCCCCTTAGGCATTCCTCCCAAGCACCTACATCTGGCACAGAGCCCACAGCCACCCTGCACTGACACTAAGGAAGTGGCAGAGGTGACCTACACTGCTGTCCTACTTTGGCACTCTGAGATGCATCTCGAATAACCCTGTTCAGGGAAAGCAGCTCGCTTCAGCTCCATCTCCTTCTTGTTGGGGATTCACCTTCACTAAAGTCAGCTGAGTCTAAAATCCCAGCACAGCTTTGAGATACTCAGAGCTGCAGGCCACGTGGGGCCTGTGGAGGCTTTGCGTTACCTAAATGTGCAAATCTGTGAAAACGCTTAATTTACAAACCGGTCCACTGACAATGAGAGAGCCTACTATCGGGAAAAACCGTGTAAAACTATTTCTTTCCAGCATTTTCCATTTAATATTTTAGACTGAGGCTGAACGGGTACCTGAAACTGAAGAATGAAAACCCAGAGGTAAAGGAGGCGACTGTAAGCCTTTGGTTGCCCTGAAAATGACACATGAACTTGATCCTAGCGTCTGTTTCTCAAAGGCAGCCAGAGCCATCTTCTCCAAAAATACCTAGATCACTGTTGCAGAAGACCCCCTTCCCCCCCACCACCTGCTCTGACCTCAAGGCCACCATCACCTGCTGTTCCTACTCCCCAAAATGCTCTTCAGACCTTCCTGTGGCTGTGCCCTGCCCCCCAGCTGCCCTGCAGCTCCCCCATCCCTTCCCTCATTTGTTAGGATCACACCCTTGGACACTGGCCTTCACATTCACATCCTATCCTTATAGATCTATGTCACAAAAATGCCTCAAGCAGAAGGCTTTGTTTCCTAGTGTTTATCCCCACCCCCACCCAAAGCCCGGAGCCTACCTGGCTCAGGAGGTGGCCAGCAAATACTTGGGGGTCTGGGCATGAAGGGTGAGAGAGCTTAGGGGCCAAGACAGAGGGGCAGGAAGAGTTGAGGACAAGGAGAGCTGGACAGGGCAGAGAAGAGACGTGGAGGGGCTAGTTTACTGGACCAGTACACAGCCCGAAGTGTCTGGTACAATCCGGGGTTTCAGGAAGACAGACTAGTTCCTGAAGGATTCCACAAGCCAGGAGGGAGCAGGTCAGGGTTCACAGACCACATGGCCAGGGTAGGTGAGGGAGACCTGGAATGTCAGGCATTTCCCGTTGCAAGGAGATTTTCGTAGGCATCTCTCACTATCAGAACGAGAAAGGCAGATGAGCTCGCAGCCCAAGGAGGAACAGGCCCAGAGAGCCAAGAACGTGTAGGAATGCAGCCCAGGAGAGGGGTGTGTCGCAGGGCACATGGCCATGGCCCATTGGACCCACTGGGGTGTTGAGCTCCTCGGACCTGGGGAGTGGCAGAGCAAACATCCAAGGCCAATGTTTGCCTCTGTGCGGGGATCAGGCCTGATTGTCCACTGTCCCCTGATCACACTCCGCTGGCAGGTAGCCCGTGTTCTGGGCAGCCAGCTCTGGCTCTAGGGAATGACAACTGAAAGAAAAGGACCCCGAACCTTCAGTCCACCCGCCTACAATAAACCCCAAATGACAGAGCAGGAGGAATTCAGAAGCCAGAGTCACAGAGGAATGTGTGGCACTGTGCCCTGGGTGCGGGACCAGGCCTCTCAGGAGGACCCTGAGCCCTGGCAACCAAGAGCCAAACTGCACCCACGTCTCACCCCAGAGCACAGCAGGACACGCTGAGCAGAGCCTTGGGAACAGGGACAGCCATGCACCAAACATAAACTGGCCAGTGGCACCTTGCTGCCTCGGGGACACACGGCTCAGGCCCAGGGGGACAAAGCATGAATGGAGAAGCCTGAATATGGCATGTGAGGGACCAGTGCTGGACTTCAGAGCAGACCTGCTGTGGGCCACACCTCCAGGACTGTGGGCTGGCAGAGGACCCAAGACCACGGGGATGGCTCCAATTTGAGTGTGTAACACGTTCTACTGTCTAGGAAGTGCCAGGACACCTCCTGATCTCACAGATCTTTAAAGTCAACCAGAAGAGTCAAGGCTCTGAGGACTCCCTCAACAACCCAACCTTTTCACCTTGAAAGCCACAGAACAGCCCATCAGAGGACTTTCTCCAGCTATGGGGTGGGACAGACACTGGCCGCTTCGCCGTTCCTTCTCCAATTCAGAAACCATCCCAGGTTTCTTATCTTCTGGAGCTTCAAAGGGAAGAGAATTCTCCTCTACCTGCCCCACCCTCTCTCTGCTTTCCAAGTGCCCCTTGCTCATCTCGGGTGAGTGTGGCCTTCCTCCAAAAGCCCAACCACCCCTGTCACAGCTGCTCTGTGACATGCCTCTGGCCAGGCTATGTGCCCACAAGCTGGGGGCACCACCATACAAAGCCTTCTTCCATCCTTTTCCACATCAGCTGAGCTCTTCCCAGCGGAAGCACATTGCTACCCTCCATCAATGGTCTCTGTGTCCCGGCAGCACGTGGCAGAGCTGCCCACAGCCCCCATTCATGCCCCTGATAGAGCCCCTTTCAAGGGCTGTGCTTTCTCCTCACTCTCCACCCCTCCCTCGCACACAGAAGAGGGCCATAAAGTGGGATTTTCCTCCATGGGAAAGAAAGGAGACTCGTCTTCCTTCCTTCCCTGCTTTCCTGCTCTCCATCTAAATCTGGCCACGGAAAGGGAGTATGGAATCGATAAAACAGACCGAGGTCATGACCGCAGGGGACACTCTGGTGGCTTCCTCCTTTGGCTTCTTCTACTGAGTAGTAGGAGGGGACACTTATGACTGCCAAGCTCCCGCAGGGAGACGGTACACCTGAGACACTAAAGGTTATCTTATTCTTAGTCTTCAAGTTAAAATGGAGATACGGAGGCCCGAGAAGGTGGCAGGGCAGACTGGGCCATATGGGGCCTTCTAGGATGGGGACACTGGGCAAACACAGCCTCTTACCGTCATCCAGGTAGGTCTGGTCTAGGTTCTGTTCCTGTTTGACTGTCACTCCAGTAGGCAGAGCTTCCTTCTGGTCACTGACCGGGGGTCCGTTTTTGGCAGCTCTTTGGCTCGGGGCAGTCTGTTGTTGGATGACTGTGGGGTAGGAGCCCGGGGTTAACCTCTGACCTTGGCTGATGGGAGGCGGGCCAGGCCTGGCAGAGCTGGGGCCGAAGTTTTCACAGTACATGATATGCTGGAACTCCTGGTGACCCCCACCACGAAGCTGCTGGTTGGTGGGCGAGTAGTGGATCACGGGTGAGGCCTGCTGGCTGGCCGAGGATGTGTGTGGCAGGGCGGAGCCCTGCGCCTGGCCCTGAGAGCCAGCATGCACCAGCACAGAACGGTGGGCATCGGCCAGGCCCAATGGTGCTGCCAGGAGGGCTGGCTGCTGGTAGCCCAGCAGGCCCGGACTCAGGCTCTTGCTCCTCTGGTAGAGGGCGGCTGCGGGGCTCTGCTGCTGGTAGCGGGCATCGGGAGATGAAAGCCCTGAGCGGAACTGTTGGCAGGGGGCCATGGTAGCCACAAGACAGGAGGGGGACTCGGCCAGCATTGGGTGCTGTGGGTAATATGGCTGGCTCCCCAGGCCTCCGTGGGCGGGGCTGCAGATCAAAGACGAATCATACTCATCACTGGGTTCTGTCTTGATGGCAGGGACTGTGGGAGAGAAAAAGCACAGGGCTGAGGAGAAGGGACAGTGATGGAGAGGGTGGCTTTGGGAAACTTAGTGGTGAAACAAGGCTGGTCTGTAAGCTTTCGGCTATAAGACCCCCTGCCCTGGAATTGTCTTCAAGTAAAACTTGACCTTGAAATGCCCTTGAACTACAGGCTCTCCCAGCTGTGGACAGGTGGAGGGTAGGCTGGACTCTGCTGCAATCTGCACAGCCTCGTTCCCCAAGATGGGTGCTGAGAGGAGAAAGCTAGCTTGTGGTGATCCCTCCCCTACTCTTGATCCATCTGTCCCCATCATATCCCTGCTGTGTTTCCTCCTACAGGCCACCGTCCAAAACAGCCAGTGATGTTCAGTTCCTATGGTCAACTTGACCATGTCTCAAATCACCTAGGAGACACACCTCCGGGGATGTCTATGAGGGACTTTTATTTGGGATGAGTGGGAAGACCCGGCCTGAACGAGGGCAGCAGCATTCTGTGGGCTGGGATCTTAGACTGAATAAGAAGGAGAAGGTGAGCTCCACAGACACATTCATCTCTCTGCTTGCTGACTGAGTATGTCACGTGACCAGCCGTCTCACACCCCCGCTGCCATGCCTTCGCCACCACGAAAGGCGGTTCCCCTCTGAGCGTCAAAGTAAACCCTTCTCCCCTTAAGTTGCTTTGTCAGGTATTGGTCATAGCAATGAGAAAACTGGCTATCGCCCCTCCCAAAATCCCCCCTTAAGCATCACCAGATCCAAGAGGGAGGGACAGCTATACAAATGAGTGGCAGGGTTGTCACCGAGGTGAGAGGAGCGGCCTCCCGAGAGTCAAGCCGTGGAGGAGGCAAGCAAGAGCATAATTCCGACTCCAGGTCAACAAGATCACTTCTGAAAATGCCATTCAAAGCCAGCGTCTGTCTCAGTTCTGGACAGCTGGAGACCTAAGAGTTGGGTCTTGCTGGGGTCCTGCTCCACCAGCCAAGCTCTGAGGCTTAACCCAGGAAGGCCTTGCTACTGCAGGCGAAGGGAGAACACACCACAGCCTCCTTGCTGAAGGGACTGCTACACACGCAGGCTTGGGCCCATGCACGGCCTCTTCTGCTCCTGACAGCAATGTCGCATTGGTCCTCATGGTGACATCCTCATAGGAATTACCCAAGCCTGCCATGCACCCTGTTGAAACTGAGCCCACCAAGGCCAGATGTGTGGACCAGTCAGAGGACAGTGATGTGCTAAGGATTTAGGGCTAAGATTACAGGTTTTCAGGCCAGTTAGCTTCCCTAACCTGCTGGGTAGTGGGGGTAGGGGGAGGGCAGAAGGAGGACTTTCCCAAGGGTTAAATTTTTTCACCATTTCCAGTTTATTCTGCAACCACTGTAGTCACTGAACTCATCAGTTCAGTTTTTTGGGGTTTTCACTGGAACCACTTGGTGAAGATAGTTCCGCTTTCTCCGGCCTATAGAATTTCATGAATGAGACTTGGTCTGGCTGTGCCCCACATGGGGACAGTCAAGGACCCTGAGAGTTCTAGAGTGTGTGTACCTTACCTAAGTGTGTGACCAAACCTAAGACAAGGAGGGGCAGCAAGAGACATCTGCTTTGCTGTCTGTAAATGCCCTTACCTGCCACCAAGGAAGACATGGATGACAATGGCAGTGGGCAGCTGGCATCGTGGGTCAGACAGGAGCTGCTCTTACAGGAAAGTGCAGGCTAGCACAAGAAGAAACTGAGGCTGAGAGCAAGGGAGTCACTTTCTCCAGGTAACGCCACTAGGAGCAGAGCCCCTGGGAGTCCTGAGCCCCTGGCCCGAGCTGCCTGTCAGCTTGAAGGATGTCAGGAAGAATGACTCACCCGGGTGGTAGGTAAAGTGCTGGGGCTGGCTTCGTTTTCTCTTCCCATTGATGACATAGAAGTTCACCTTCACAGGGACACGGATGTGCTTGTTCCGGTACTCAGGGATCTCAACAAAAAGCATGTTCTAGGAGGAAGCAGTTGTCATGAACTTGACCATATGCGACATGGCTGGACACCTACCCAAGATCCCAAGCATGTCCACCCACCGCCCCATGGCAGGTGGTCTGGCTTTGTTCCCTACATACGTGGAGAAATTTGATCAGAGGGAATTTGACTTTTCATCCTGACAAGGAAAGTTGATCTAACAGTGTGTGAAGATGCCAGGGTCACAAACCAAAGGGCCTACGGCTTGGTAGTGATCCACTCACTAAGTTCAGTTTGTGCTGGCTGAGTAAGTTCAAAGGTAAGGAGAGGGGAGGGAGGGATGGATGGAAATACTGGGGAAGGAAGGGGATGAAGGGGGAGGGAGAAAGAAAAAAAGGGAAGGAAAGAGGAAGTTGGGGAGAACAAGGGACAGAGACCTCAGTGGGGACACGGAGATCTCAGGTGGCTGTCTGGGGGGGGGGGGGCTTACAGGCTGACTCTTGTCTTTATCCACTGTAGCTTCCATCTCCCAAATCTGCTGCCCATCTGGAAAAGACAAAATCAGCAGCCTTTGAAGGAACAGTAGATGCCAAAGACGGAGGCTCACCAAACCACATTCCCCATCATACCCCTTTATCAAGGTGTATCAGTGTACAGAGGGGTGTGAGACAGAAAGAGAGAGAGAAGAGAGAGAGATGGGGTGAGAGAATGCAGATGTGTGAGAGTTGGAATGTATGTATGCGTGTGAGAAACAGGTGTGTTTGCGAAAGCGTGTGTACGGGAGAGAATGTGTGTGTGAGAGAGAGAATGTGTATGTGAGACAGTACATGTGAGGAAGTTGTGTGTATGTGTCTGAGGGAGAGAGAGAGAGAGAGAGAAAATGTGTATGTGAGAGACTGTGAATGTGAGAGTTGAGAGTATGTGTCTTACTGTGTGAGGCCTTGTGTATGAGTGTGGCAGAGAATGTGTGTGTGTGAGAGAGTTGTATGTGTGAGACAGTGTGTATGTGTGAGAGTTGTGTGTGTGTGTGTGAAGAAGAGAGGAAGAGAGAATTATGCATGTACAAGGAGAAAATTGTGTGTCCACATATTCGAAAGCTGGAGAGACTTGTGTCCCAGTGGGAAACAGCCTGAGAAGAGCAGGAACGCAGCGCGCCCGCAGACTCCATTGTAGTCTGCTGCGATTCCAACGCCTGTTTCCCTTCCTGAAAATAAAGCCATGGTTCTCCATGGCACCTGATTACATCTGTCTTTGTGGCGCCTTTTGTCTGTTTCCTCACTAGGCCCTCAGCCCCAAGGCTGTCTCAGGAGCCTCATGATGGTTCCAGCTTGTTCCCAATGTCCCCCTCATCTGAGAACATGGTCGGTGGCTTAGCTGTCCCTCTCTATATCGGGACAGGACAGGTAGCCTGAGGGTGCCTGGCTCATGGGTCACCAGGAGGTGAGGAGAACCCTAAGCCCACCCGCAGCTTCAGGGGGCCCCCCTGTGAGTCACGATCGTGTATGAGATGGTTCTGCTCAGCAGTGGCCTCTCTTTCTCGGGGCAGAGGGCCGCTCATTCCGGTCTAAGGCCAGCAAACAGGGCCAAAAAAAACTCTTTATTTTCAAATTATAGATTTCTCTCCTGACCACCTACACTGACCGCTAGGCGGTTTTCGCTGAAACAAAACGTTTCCATGAGGGCTTCCAGGGTGTTCATGGAGCGGGAAGGCTGAAGGATATTAAATGGTTTTATGAGAAAGGGAACGTTCTCGAAGCTAGTAAATGCCTGGAAAATGCTGAGTCAAAGTCCACTGGGTTCCCTGACTCAGTAGAGACTTCAGCATGCTCACTACGGTGGGCTAAGAGACAGAGCACACCCCAGCATCTGGCCTCAGAAGCCCGTCTCTTTCTGGAGCAAAGCTATTCGTGTGTGTTGTAATCGCTTAGGTCTTCCAGCTCTGAGGGCTGGCTGGAGAGCTGTGGGCTGTGAGCAGCATCCCAACTTGCTGGCCTAGGAGCAACGACCTCTCTCAGCAAGGGATAAGCCAGAGCTCCCGGTCACAGCCACGGCTCCAGTCTTGGCCTTGGTTCAATGAGGTGCAATTCTGAACTTGGACTCCAGCATCTACATAAAGGTCAAATATGGCCACACTAATGCTTATAACCCCAGTGCTGCAGTGAGTGAATACAGGAGAATCTCTGGGGCTTACTAGTGCCAGCCTCGCTCTAGGTTCCGTGAGAGTCCCTCGCTCAGAAGTATAAGGTGAAATGTGATAGTGTCGGACCCTGGAAGTCCTCCTCTGGCTGCTACTCTGGCATACACAGGCATACACTACACCCCCAAAGTAAGAGAGAGCATGATGGAGGAGGACACCCAGCAACAAATTCTGGCCTCCATGTGTACACATACAAATGCATGTGTTCACAAACACATTACACACACACACACACACACACACACACACACACACAAATACACACACTAGGATAACCTGGTCTTAGATCCCTGTGGAAGGGACCAGGTGATAGTCTTGGCTGTCTACCAACCATGCTGGGGGAGGGGGGGAGTAGCCAGAGTTGGATATAAAAAAATGTCATCAGCTGTAATGGCTGCTGAAGGACCAGGAGAAGCCACTCCGGGGGCAGGAGAAATGGTGGACAAACGGACACCAAAGTCACCTAGCCCAGTGCCACCAGAATCCAGCTCTGCGGTGTGCAAAGGCCCAGACAGAGCTTGTCAGGGTTACCCTTGCTTTCATGTCAGCTGGCCCAAGGTCACTGACAGTGGGTTCCAGCCTTGCTCACTGACTATAGCGTGAATACTGAGCTAGAAGGCCACGTGGAAGCAGTGAAGGCTCCTCCTCTTGCCCAGCCTTTCACTCCCTGAGGTTAATCTCACAGTAGCCTTGCTGCTTTGAGGAGCACTTGGGAGGCTGAGGTGGGGGCCAGCCTGGGCTACAGAGTGACTCTCAAGAAACAGATAAAAACAGAGAGAGGGAAGAGGGGGGAGGGGATACAGTTGGGTGGGTTTCCAAAGCTTATCCTTGGGAGATACAGACAGAATTCCTTGAAGAACTGTCAAGAAGTTGAACCGCAAGCTTCCAGCCCAGCCCCCATCCTTGATCTGTGGCAGAGGAAACACTGACATGCAAAATGTCAATGTTCATGAAAAGGTATCACCATGGGTCAGATAGATATGGTCTTTTGGGTCTATGGACCCGGGGGAAAAGGACAGTGTCTTCACCCTCTTGCCGATGGGTGTGGCTACCCAATGAGGCACTGCCAATAGGAGCTTGGGTAGAAATGAATCGGTTCAGTGCCATCAGAAGGGGAACCTAAGGCTCAAAGGAAGTTTGTGTACAAGCTATCAGCCACAGCCAGCCCAACCAAATAGCAAGGAAGAGGCTTCCAGTGGGCCTGCAGAAAGAGGTAGGCACTCGGAGATGCTAAGAAAAGACATCAGTAGGCAGGACTTTGCAGTCACTCCCACGGCAACGCTAGCTTCATCAGCCCCTCACAAACCCTTCTTGCCTCCTGTGTCCCCTTACACTGCCATAGCTCTGCCATGGCCCCCAAGGTCCTTTATATTCCAGCTCCCACCCTGGCTGTCCTAAGTACCGTTCTTAACCAATTCTTGATACCTGCCCTGGTCCTCAAATTCCAACCTGTTCTTCCATATGCTCCCTCCCCCCAGAGGGGGGAGGCATGCCTGGCCTTTACCTCACTAACTAAGTTAAATGTCCCAGTCAGAGTAGGGAGCCGCTAGGTAGGGTCATGGGCTCGAAGAGGAGGAAGCCAGACTGGAGCCTGCAGGATCCTGGGCTGGCACACCCACATGGCACTCCACCCCCACCACACCCCCAGAGCTTAGATGTCGGCTCCTGTTTCCTGAGGATGCCCCTATGCAAGGCAGGGCCCTCTGGAGCTGGCAGGTGAGGGCTGTGCGAAGAACGTGCGTGTAGGAGGAAATGCCCACCTGCTCTGTGCGCTGGCAAGCCCGTGTGACACACTGCCTAGAACGCTTTTTGGAAATGCCCTGTTAACAGTGCCAATTCTCTGTCTCCTGCAGCTCTCAGTCATTTTATCCCAAACTTTGCAACAACAGACCTGGCCTGAAATCCTTGCTGGCCCCAGTTAGCGGTGTGGCCTTGGATAAGATGCTGTGTCTCTCTGTCTCCAGTTTAAAATGTGAGGGTGTTACAGCATTCGCATCTACTACTGAGTACACATAGATCAAACGAAGTAACAGGCTCCGGCATTGCGTAAGAGTGTGATACAGTCGGGGCTGAAGTGCCGGAGTCCCCAGGTTATTGAATGTGGGCATGTATCTCAACATGAGGTAAAACTGAAAACTTCACACATCTTGAATTCGTAGCCTAACAAGAATTCTCTGTTTGCAGTTATGGATCCACCTGCAGGGCACAGCTGGAATCTACAAAGGGATGGTATTGAGGTGGGAGTCTCTTACTGGACATGGCAACATGGCTCCCTGCAGCTTTGCTTTGAAAAATCGGTCTTTTTAGAGGCCCAGAGAGACAGCTCAGGGGTTGGAAGTACTCATTGCTCTCGCAAAGAACCCAGATTCCATTCCCAGCACTCGAATGGCGGCTCACAAACTGCCTGTGGCTCTAGCTCCAGGGGCTCCAACACCCTCTTCTGGCCTCTGAGGGTACTGCACTCACATGGTATACATACACAGACATAACTAAAAAATAACCTTAACGGGTCTTTTCAAGGGCTGTAATCTCAGCACTTAGGAAGCTACTGCAGGAGTATTTGGAGGGAGGTGAGGAGAGAAAACAAGGAAAAAGAGTGAGGAGGAGGTGGAAGAGGAAAGGGAAGAGAGAAGGCTACGTGCAAACGGAAAGGCAGCCAGCAATGACCAAAGCCAACTAAAGCCAGGGTCTCCCTTCTGCCTTTTGACCCTTCAGGACCCAGAGGCTCAAAGCTCAGGAGCTCGGGGACCCAGCCTGGTTCTGCATGCTCACAGAGCCCAGACTCAGTTCTGAGCAGTACAGCTAGCACGCCAGCAGGAAGTGAAAGCTGGCCTCAGTCATCTTCTCTATTTAGCCTCATTACCCGGAAGGCTCACTCAGAGGCTGGGCTCTAAAGAAAGTGTGTGGTTTGCTCTGTGTCTCAGCACCATGCTTTTTGGTTGTTGCTGTTGTTTTCTGCACCCCACATTCACAGGTGCACAAGTCTTCAGGGTCATGGGGAGGTGATGTTACCTACTCTCTGGGTACTGCTCTCTTGAGGCAATGCCTTCAAAACAAGCCCCCAGGGGCTTCCCTAAGGCTCATCTCATTCCAATCAGGTTCAAGTCCTTCCTGCAACCAGCACTGACTGCCTGTGTGGCCTTCAAGTGGTGGCTAAACCTCTCAGTGTCTTCGTTTCCTCTAAGAATCAATCAGGCTGAGTATTAAACTAGGCAGTTTCAAAAACAATGCTCATCCAAAAGCTCAGGCCACCATGAGTGTCGCCACCATCCTGCTTTAGAATCTGGGGTCTCACACTGGCCTCTAGGGAAGGAGAATTGGCTGGGTCTCTATTTCAGGCTTTGGGGGG